AATCTCAGCGAGCTCGCCTCACTTTTTGCACTGAGAGTCCAGGGTTTGATCCATTAATTATGGAGCTCCCATAGAAAGAATGAAAACCCCAGAACTGGTCAAATACCTTCAGAACTGATTGCAACTGCAGAACTGATTCCTAACTGATTGCTGATTGCCTCTCTGCAAAAGCTTTGCTTTCTTCCTTGCCTTTCTTGACATTCTGCAAAAGTGTTAAATGCTCGAAAATAATGTGCGATTTCATTTAGAAAATCATCTAGATGATATACTTCTGAAATCAACCAACCTTATATAGTCGCAGCCGTAGGAATCATCTGCACCATTAGCTGTCGCTTATAGAAATATTGGGCTCAGTCGGAAATGCATTTCAGCTAAAAATGACCCTAGGAATAATGTATGAGTGCTGGTGGTGGTAAAAAGTGCCACTGTACTAGAGTCAGTGCCACACTGACCTATGCTGAGAGATCGTATTGCGATGGAGGGTGCGGATTGAGAAGCCTCCTTTCTCATACAGCATATTCCGTGCTCCATCTCAGTCGACCTTTCGAAATGCAGTCTGCTTCATTAGGATAAAAAAGTCTCCAAAATAAGACGAAACCATCGCACAGTTGGTTTGAACGAGTTTAAATTTTTTGACGAGTCACAAGCAAAAACTCTTTAGGTTCTTGAAGTAGAGTGTCTACTGAGTCATTTAAGCCAAAAAGGAAAAAAATTCTGTCGAGCTCCTGGAAAATAAAGTCGATTTAAAGGTATTTTTGGGCCAAAATAGCCAAATTACCCATAGGAAGGCCCGTCATATTATTTAAAAAATTGTTTTCTTCCTGGGTATAGTGCCCAAGTTTCTTAAACATGCATATTTTAAGCCTCCGGTTACTTAAACTCCCAATTTTAACCATATGGTAAATTTTGGGGGCCTAAAATTAGCCCTCAGAGCCAAAAATTGCAAACATTTTCGAAAACTTCGGATTTTCAGGGGGGTGTTTTTTTTTTAACGTTGTTTTTTCTACAGTCGTCAATGAGTAATTCTGAAGGGCATTTTCGATTAAATAATTGACATTTTGACTGTTCAGGTGAAGGGGGAAGGGGGCATCAGGCTTTGTTTTGCCATTCTCACAGTTTCTGAAAACGCTTGAAAATTCCCAATTACATTGGAGGTCCAAAATATCCCTTTTAATTCATTAAATACTGTATCTGATATTATGAAATATGCAGCAGGAATTACTGCCCCCCCCCCTCCTCACTACGAGACGCATTGAAACCTTGATCTCACTGCCCGCGCTACGAAAACGCTCTAAAGTTCCCTAATACATTGGAAGTCCAAAATATCCCTTTTTAATTCATTAATTACTGCTTCTGATATTATGAAATATGCAGCAGCAGTTACTGCCCCCCCTCCCCCTCCTCCTCACTACGAGATGCATGGAAACCTTGATCTTACTGCGCGCGCTACCGGATCCTTGCTTTTTGCATCCGGGCATTTGCAGGATAAACTTGTAGCCTAAACATGTCCATTTATATGTAATGCTAAAGACCGCCAAATTTTTTATTGCCAATGCCCGGAACTCTTACACAACGGACTGCCATCACGCGAAAAGCAAGGATCCGTTAGCGCGCGCAGTAAGATCAAGGTTTCCATGCGTCTCGTAGTGAGGAGGAGGGGGGGGGGCAGTAATTCCTGCTGCATATTTCATAATATCAGATACAGTAATTAATGAATTAAAAGGGATATTTTGGACCTCCAATGTAATTGGGAATTTTCAAGCGTTTTCAGAAACTGTGAGAATGGCAAAACAAAGCCTGATGCCCCCTTCCCCCTTCACCTGAACAGTCAAAATGTCAATTATTTAATCGAAAATGCCCTTCAGAATTACTCATTGACGACTGTAGAAAAAACAACGTTAAAAAAAAAAACACCCCCCTGAAAATCCGAAGTTTTCGAAAATGTTTGCAATTTTTGGCTCTGAGGGCTAATTTTAGGCCCCCAAAATTTACCATATGGTTAAAATTGGGAGTTTAAGTAACCGAAGGCTTAAAATATGCATGTTTAAGAAACTTGGGCACTATACCCAGGAAGAAAACAATTTTTTAAAAAATATGACGGGCCTTCCTATGGGTAATTTGGCTATTTTAGCCCAAAAATACCTTTAAATCGACTTTATTTTCCAGGAGCTCGACAGAATTTTTTCCTTTTTGGCTTAAATGACTAAGTAGACACTCTACTTCAAGAACCTGAAGAGTTTTTGCTTGTGACTCGTCAAAAAATTTAAACTCGTTCAAACCAACTGTGATCGGTTTGATGCAACTCGCGAAAGCTAGTTTCGCTGCCCGAGTTCGGTCGGCTCTTCGGCCCAGTTTTCGCGCCCCCCCCCCCCCCCCGGGGGGGGGGGGAGGAGGGGAAGGGAGGTTTATTTTCAGCTGCATCTTAGTCGACCTTTCAAGAAGCAGCCTGAGTCGTTTATATAAAAAGTTCTCCAAAACATAATAGAAGCATTGGTTTGATCGGACCTGCGCAAGCCAGTTTCCCTGCTCGAGTTCGGTCGCCCCCCCCCACCCGCCCCCCGTCCGGGGGTATATTCTGAGCTGCATCTTCGTCGACCTTTCAAGATTCAGTTGCAATCACTTGCATTAGAATTTTTCCAAAACATGGCGAAAGACTCGGTTTAATGCGGCTCGCCGACTCTGAAATCGGTGGGGTAAACCCCCCCCCCCCTTCCTCACAAGGCAAAATTGTTCAGTTTTTGAGTTCGGGTGATATAATATATAATAATAATATACCAAGTTAGTCATAAAATTTTACGTAAATTAAGGATAGATTCAAAGCTGAAATTTTAGATCAAGGGTTTTTTTTTTCCTTACATTAAAAACAGTTAAGACAAGAGTATGACGAAAAAATTTGATTCCTTTGCACCAATCCCACCCCTCCCCCACCCAAGACGATTTGATGAAAATAGGTTTTACCCAATTTTTAAATTTGCAAATACATTTACAAATAGTTTACTAACAAAAATTCACCCAATCTTTCCATAGTTTCACAGTGTTTTCGTTTGAGGTGAATCCGTAAGTGTTCTCGCTCTGCCGCTCTAGCTTCTTTTCTTGCCAGCTCCCATTCAACGCCGCACATATAACCTAGTCTTCCTTTTTTTCTTTGCTAAATCAAGAATTGCTAGTCTTCCTCAATTTTCATGTCCTCTAGTGCAGATGCAGGAGCAATATCGAACAAGTTGTCCAAGTTTCCAGTAAATGCCTTCGTATTCGTGATATCACCAGGCAAATTTCGATTTTTACTTTTTTCGTGTTTTCACCAATTTTGATACAGCTTCACCAACTTTTGTGCACCTTGATGGTCTTCTTTTATTGGAATCCGTGCTTCACGCCAAAAAGAAGAGGCTTCCTTTATAACTAAATTTGAACACTCATCATCCGATTAGATTTTCACTTGCTGCATATAAAAAAAAAACATACAGAGAACATCCCCGTTGGGAGGAAGCTTACTCCCGATAATCTGTAGAGAATAATTCCCAATCAAAAAAACTGTTGTATCTTTTCGCGTCTCCGGCATTTTGAATTAAGTACAATTGACAGAAACGTACGACATGGTGTCTTTATGAAAGCTCACTTCCTGTCCGACGACATCGGGAAACTGAGCCCAAGGCAGGGGACAGCAGCTCTCAACAAAACTTTTCTGCTGAGCTTGCAAGAATTTGAGCTAATCTCTTACTGCAAGAAACGTTGCGTTGTGATGGTAGATTGCCAAATCACCAGATAATGTTTCAGGTAATTTAACATTCTATCAAAGCCAAGCACCTAAGTGGCTCATTTAAATTTTGCTGCTCTTGAGAAAAATTATAATTTGAATGAGTCGATCAAGGTTTGATGTGCATTGCACAATTCTTAATCACGAAAAGTCGAAATACAAATAAGGCAAAGAAACAAGAACACCAAGTTTTACAGTCAATTGTCAAGTCAAGTCAACAAATTTAAAGCATATTTTGGCTAAAGGGCGCATACGAAAAATCACAGTTTTGAGAAAAACGCATTTGAAAGTTCAAAACGTTATATCTTCAACACCTGTAAATATTTTTCCAAAAAATTAAAACAGGATTACATGTATTTTCTTTGAGGGCGTCCGAAAAGTCCGTACCTCCCCCCCCCCCCCCCCCCCCCCCCCCCCCCCCCCCCCCCCCCCCCCCCCCCCCCCCCCCCCCCCCCCCCCCCCCCC